AGGGAGCCCCGGCGGGAGGCCCGGCCCAGCCGGGCAGCGGGCGGCGCCATGGCAGGGCCGCCACGGCGGCGGGAACTGCTTGCGCGCATCCGGGCCCCGGGGCGGAGCGGACGGACGGGGAGCGGGGGCGCGCCGGCGCGGCCTGCGGAAGCCGCCTGCTCGCCGGGCCTGAGCCTCAGCGGGTGGCCGGTCCCCGCGGTGCCAGCCGGCGCGGAGCTCAGCTCCTGGGGCTGTTCCCCTCGGCCGCCACGGCGGCGTCTCCCTTCGGCCCGCCGCGGCCTGTGGGCGCAGGAGCCTGCCCCCGCCTCGCCTCGCCGCGAAAGCAGGCGACGTGCCTACTTTGTTCCTTATCCCTAGCTGGTGTCTGCCACAAACGTCCTGTGACCTTGTGTGAGCCAGTGGTACGGAGGAAAAATAAAACAGGCTGTTAAGAGCCGCGGTGTCAGCCCTACCAAATGCACAGGGTATTACAGCAACTCCCGTGGGCAACCGGTGAGATACGCTGTGGCAAATGCTTTCCTACACCAGCTGTTTACCAGCACACTTCTCACTAAATCACTGAGCGATACAGAAAACTGGAAGGTATCTGAGAACAGCAATCAAAATCATGGGAATCGCCATGAGGATGAGAAGCAGCTGTTAAAACATTTCTACGTGGGCTTCCAGGGGAGGAGAGGATCAGCTCTGAAGGACGGAATGTGAGACTGAAAAACACGGATTGCATTTTCCGGTTTAAATAACTGTGTTCATCTCTGTCCAAGTGGGCTTGGTACAATGGTACGGGTAGAAGTGACACTGCTGAGTACCAATGAGCTAACCTTTCAGCTTAGTTCAAATTCTGCATTAACACACACAAAAACTATCTCGGACTACATCAATGTTCCTCATTTGCATTATCTAGGCTGCTGCGCTGGTGGATGTGAGGCCCAGGAACAGAATGAGTTGAGCTGTGCACTGAAAAAAGTGCATCAGTGAAACAACACAAGCTCGAACAGCAGAGGAGCATTCTACAGGGCAGGACTGGGGTTTGTTGTAGAACCAGACCAGAGACCTGAAATTTGTGCATCCTGCCTTTTGTCTTTTCATTAACGTTCCTCTTTCAAGGCATTTCATCCTCTCATTCATCCCGTAGAGCTAATGTCAGCAATTATTTGGCCTGCAGGCCAACAGTTTGACTTGCTTGGTTTTTCTTATATTATGATCAATTGCAAGAAGTGTGTTTATAAATGCATCAGTGCACAGGGGTTGGCCTGCCAAAGGAAAGCTGGCAGGCTGTGAACGCATGTGTAAGCTGTTTACACAGCAATCATAAAAGAAGCAGTTTGCAAAGCAATACTCGCCCAAAGGAACTGAGAAAGCTTCATGGATCTGCTTTCTACCTGCCTAAAATAACTGTACTCTCTCCCTTCCACAGCACTGTGGTATCTGAGGAGCTATTGTTAAACCTTTGAGAATGCCCCACTCCCTGGTCATTGTGCCTGATTTGAGATGGTTTAGGTAAAGTAAGTGTACACAGCAGTCTCTCCCTGCACCAGTCACAGGAAGGGGCTGCCAGGCCTGTTGTTTCTCTTTCTATCCTGGTGAACTAATTTGACCTCTGGGATGGTTATGAACCTGACAGACTTGAAGGAGTGCACTCTGGTAATAACATTCATGGAGTTCAAGCAGAGGAATCCCTAAAGTGTGGTGATTTTCAGAAAGCTTTGGGAGAGGGGGCCTGGATTTCTCAGTGCTGCAGGGATTTCAATGGAGGTCACTGCATCAGCATATTCCCTTAATTCGTGGAAGTTCTTGGTGCCTCAGGGATACCAGAGTGTATCTGCCAGTTTGTCAGAGTGGGAAAACTCCAAGCCTCAGGGCAGAATCTCTGTATAACAGGAACAGGAGAAAGAACAACTCTTAAGGTAGTGGAGTACAGCCTGTGTGCATGCAACACAGGCAGGGGCTGGGATTGCATGCTGTTCAAGTACAGCTTTATGAACACAGCACAGACTTTGCACTGCAGGGTATCTTTCTTCCCCTGCACTATTGATCTACAGCCCTGCCTTAGGTGTTCTGGCTGGTTGCAGTTAACACAGGGTTGCACATGAACCTCTGATGCTGCCTTTCCCCTTCCCACCTCACCAAGAAAAAAGTTTACACAAGAGCAGCAATGGTGACAGAACTCTACCCCCCCTTCATTAAGCACTTCCTTAGCATCATTCAGCTTCCAGTTCTGGGGGTTGTTCCCTTCCCATGTGGGTGACAAGCTACAGGGGGGCAATTCCACTGGCTGAGATGGCAAGTTACAGACAGGGGACCGACTGCAGTAGAGAAGGCAGGCGGTTGGCAGGGCTGGAGCACCAGCAACGGGAGGTGTTTGCCATCTAGTGGCTTTGTGAGATCAGCTTTGGCATGAGCCTCTCCCTCTGCGTTCTCACGGTGCTGCAGCCCTGGTGTACAGTCCCTGTTTCTCTCCCTTGTCTTTTCCCAAGACCTGTAAGGAGGGTGAAGAAAGGTCAGAGAGGAGGTAAAGCTGGGCTGTTTGGGTAGAGTGAGTCAGCTCTGATTTGGTTCTGTTCTGTCTGGGCTGGCCTCCAGAACATCAGGAGTCAAAAAGAAAAAGAAAAAAAAAAAGGCAAAGCAAGTTTGCAAATAGGAAGCAAGGGCTTTCCTTCAAACCCTAGGGCGCAAGGGCTCATTTTTTTTTGCTTAAGGAAGTGGTTCAAAACATTCCCCAGGCTTCTCACAATGAAGCAATATAAAAAGTCCTTAAGCCAGGAGGAGGATCCATTCTCCAGGAAGCCTTCACTTTTCACAGTGTTCTTAAAGGCCAAGTCTGCAAGTGAACTGCTATAGAGGGCTTCCCTCAACACACCTATCCACCTACACCTCAGAGTTCAAGAACTGTAGGAGCCTGGATGAGGAAGCAACCATATGAGAGGGTGTTTGAGTTTGATCTGCTCAACTTAAGAGCAAAGGGATATCAAGGCCACAGTGGAGTTCTACATGTTTTGTACTGGGTGAATTAGGAGGTGGGCAGGAAATGTTAGCCATCACAGCTGTATCCAGCTACGCTGTTTAAGCAGGAGCATGGTGGAGACGTGTCATGCATGTCTACAAAACCATGTAACGTAATAAGGTATGTGTCAGGGTTGCAGCTGTTGCGTCCTGTGGCACAGCACAAAGTGGGCCATGGGTCTGGTGAGGGCAGAGAAAGAAAGGAAGAAACTTCACAAGGTTTTATTTGAGGGCACCGTTAGCATGCAGAGAAAAGCACTACAAGTACAGCTTCTGTGAGTGTTTGCATCTACCTTCTGGAGTTCACTGAAGGCAATCTTTATGCAATGGGGGTGAAATTACATCCCTTCATTGGGCCTACCTGTTACTAGTTGGTTTTACTCCTCTCTTCTGCTTTACACATTTCAGCCAAAGTCACTGCCCTAAGCACTGATATTCTATTCCCTTCAGAGCGCATTGCTACCCAGGGAAGTAATGGTCATCATAGTTTCCATTTTCTCCCTTGCAAGCCTTATGCATGGCAGCCTTTGTGAACTGCTGCCAACTGGTCTAACAAGATAGTCAGAAAATTAAGATAAAGCAGTGGGCTGTTTGAGTGAAGGCTTCCATCTTCCTCAGACCCTTTGCTGTATATTGTTAGGAATACAGCAGTAACTGAGAGGTTATGATAGAGATAAAGCAGTTCCTTCACCTGGGGCATAATGCAAATGTCAGAGGTAAAAGAAAGCAGAGGCTTCTTTCTGAGCCTGACCTGGCCCTGAGTTACAGGAGGTGACAAGATCTTCAGTCAGTGGGAAGTAAAGATGCCATGGAATCCATAAGGCATTTGCACTGCAACTTCTGCTCGCCCCAATTCTCTGAACGTCTCTGCGTCCAAGACAAGCAGGAAAGCACTTTGGTTCTGCAGGATGAAAAGAAAGCCGGAATGAATGCCCAGGCTGAACTTCATTCCACTGTCCAACTCACTACATCTGTCGCACACAAGGGAGGCCAAATGTACAACTAGGCCATATGGTCAGGTACAACCAGACCATACAGACTAAACCTGAAAGACAGATGGCCAGGAACACTGATAGTCACAGATGGCACTCAAGAAACACTTGGCATTCCAAGGTACACTCCTACTTGAAGTTTGCCTGGCTGTGCTTGGCAGTTGCAGAGGCATACACCTTGGGGAGCATAGTGCTAGAACTATCTGCCAGAGCACCTCAAATTCAGTTTTGTGGTTTAGAAAGTGTACCTAATACTATGTGACTTTGACAAACTAGTAGCAATAAGTTACCTCCGTGGGAGAGACCACAACAGACAAGATGACTCCACTGTCTTCTGCCGTAGCATTAGGCACTGGCACAAACACAGGCTCTGACGGGTAGGATCCATCCTCCTGCCAAATCTAGCAAGCACAGTAACATATGGATGTGTTTCATTTCATTACTTGTCTACTACAGGTAGACGAGTTGCAAGTTGGAGTGCTCCCCACAAAGATACCCAGGCATACTCTGTGCTCCATGAAACCTATAGTTCATCCTTTTAATGAATTCTTTTGATTCCAGTAGTGTGATGGTGCCATTGTTGTGACAGCATGTCCATTATGCCAGGCATCATGCAAACAGGCAGTGAAACGGGTTCCTATTACTCATTTCATCCAACAGTTTGTGCTGGCACAGGTGTAAGCTACAAGCACAGAAAACACCACCATCCTAGCTGGCACAGCCATCTTCACACCA